AAATAATAAATAAATAGTCACGCATGTGGTTCGGGGTTCGATGCCCGGCCAGCAGATGCACACATTTACCTCACTAAACCAGTAATAAGACTGGCTAAGAGGGAAGGTTGGGCACAAATAAGGCTAGTACCCTCATTCCGTAAAAATAAATACCACTGTTACCGAAACTTCAGGCCTTTAGCTTGAAGTCGTCTTATGTTCCACTGGGAACGTAAAGAAATGATTCGCATTTTATGAATTTGAATAAAGCAAGATCAATAACAGTGGGGGTTTGCGCAGAATAAGATACTACCGTTTTGTTGACTTCTTATCAGCTGCTTGCTTATAGCCTAAATAAATTATTATTATTATTAAGTTCATGTACAGAAACGTTTTAACGTACTTGCCAATTTTGCATGATGTCAGTTGACACAGGGTTTCGGAGTTAGTGAACAGTGCTGAAGAAATTACGCTTATGAAGGTTTTACACAGGCAGTTTAAGTTTAAACGAAATTAGTGTATGCATGTGGTGAGAGCAGGCCGTGAGAAAATATGTACAAGGCTGATTCAACAACCAATCACGGCAGACTTAACGTGGCAAAATATGATTCGCAGATAGAGAACTCTATTTTTCGAGGAATCCCGAAACAACCAATCAGAAGCCTGCGTTTGTCTGCTTAACTTCTGATAAACAACCAATCAGATGACTGCGCTTTTCTACTTGCATAAGCTATAATAATGTATGTGAAATATATATAAATACGTGTTGATTTTCATAATAAAACGATCTGTTGCCTGACCCTTGTCTTCTGTTGTTATATGCATAGAATGGTAGAGAAGTTACGTAGTAAAGACGAGAGGTACATAAGATTATCAATAACTAATAAGTTGGGTAACAGTGTACTGAATTCAACTCAAATCATGGAAACAAGAGACAGGCAAAATGAAGGAAAGTAGGGTTAAAGCGAAAGATTACGTAATCAATTCCATATTAGTTTGTTTATTAGATGTATCACACAGTGAGTGTAACAGTATTATTTACTGGATGACAATGTTTCGAACAAAATTTATTTATTGTTCATAATCATATCATCAATTATAATTACACAACTTCGAAACCTGAGTTTTATAGTTTTCTTTGTCTTCTCCTATTTGTCGTCGTTGAGGTAGTAGAATTTTCCATATATCTGGGACAGGTGTTGAATCATTTCTATTACATGTATTCTCTTCAGTTGATTCGATAACACAAAGCTTCTGTTTTTATCAATCTCTCCCTCCATCCTGTCAGTTACATTAGATTTTAAAACTGTCATCCTATCCCATCCTATTGTGTGGTTGTGTGTAACTGCATGTGGTGTAGTGCTATAGCTGAACTATTCTCTAGATTTCTTATCTTATTTGGGCCAACCAATCTAGATTTAGCTAGGGTTTTTATGTTCGGTTAGTCTGACTGCCCCTATTCTACTAGTTTGATCTATGTATTTGACCTGATAATCATTGCAGACGGGGTATTAGATAAACTAAATTGTTTTGTTTTAAAGACTTCAGAGGACTGATCGTTTAACCGACGAAGCTTGTTTCTAATTGAGTTTGTGGGTTTGAATGCCAGCCGCTTTTATTACTGCCTTGTTAAGAATTCTTCTCTGTGAGGTTTCCGAGGTTCCTTCCTAGTATGGAATTACTACTGATGATTTAGATTCCTTATTGTTGGTGTCGTCATTAATATTATTATTATTATTATCATCACTATCGCTACTATCATTATTTATTTATTTTAATTTTACATTTCCTTACACATTTTTTGACTAATTTATCTGAGTAATTATTAAGTTTCAAAGCTTCTTTTATGTGTATCACTTCCTGCCTTAGATTTTCTTTGGTACTACTTAGTTTTGTGCTCTGTCACTTAAACATTTCACCAATCCTTTTTTTACTGATATAAGATGGGATGATCTGAAGTCCAGGTATCTGCTTGAATGTGTGAGTTTCCTGTAAACACTAGTGTGTTTAACTTCCCATCTTCTTTCCTTTTTACGTCGCAATCTAACATTGGAAGCTCCTCTTCCTGACTTTCCAATTCATAAGTGAATTGAATTGTCTCTATCTTCAAGTTGATGTGTTCGAAAAATCTATTTATATCTTGTGTTCTGAGTACATGTAATAGAAATGATTCAACACCTGTCCCTGATATCCGGAAAATTCTACTACCCCTACAACGACAAATAGGAAAAAACAAAGAAAACTATAAAACTCAAGTTTCAAAGTCGAGTGATCACAATTGATATGATTATGAACAATAAATAAATTTTGTTCGAAACCGTGTCATCCAGTAAATAATACTGTTTCACTCACTGTGTGATACATCTAATAAACAAACTAATACGGAATTACTTACTACCACAGTGCCCATGTTTTACACATATATCACGTAATCAAATGAAAGAGAGACAGTGAAAACATCCAGTTGCCAAGCAGGGCAAGGAAAGACTGATGCTAGCTGCTTCTTTCTTTCGGGTGTCTGATAGAGATTGCTATGGCAAACTAGACGAAAATTGAGCTTTCCTGTCTGTTGATAATTTCAAAGGATTTTGCGATCTCCACCCTATGACCCGTATGAAGAAGATGTCTGGTATTGGCATTATCGTGAGGGTATGTTCCCTGCTTTAATTGATAAAAGTCTGAATTCATGCTTCCTAATTTGGTAAACTACATACCAAGCCTTTGAATGTAATCCTAATAGGAAGCGACAGTTTCCACTTCAGAGGGTGACATGGAGAAGGTCATGTGATTAGGAAATGCAGACTTGTGGCGGCGATTATGGAGTCAGTTGGAAAAGATGACAGCGAACTGAGAGCAATAAAGATCTACCAACCGGAACTTAGGGAATGCATAATAATAATACCATAGTTTGAAACTCTTCCTTCAGAGATAAAATCTAGGAACTAGAGATTACGACCCGATCATGATTAGCATTGAATTATTGGATTGAAATCCAATAACCTACATAATTTAATTTCTATAGATTCGCGATACACAGACACTGCTGCGGGTGTGGTCCACCATATCGAGTGCAAATCTCGGGTGTTCACTGATGACATTAGTTGCGTTTGCTTCTTTATCGTGAATTTAAAAAAAAACAACTCAGAATCTGTAAGTCATCGAATTCAAGTTCAATGACTCGGTGGTAAATGTACTCAACTCATAACCTGAACTACCTGGACTCGAATCGTGTCCTAAACTAGGACGAAATATCTGTTCAGTGTTTCTTGATCTCAGTCAGGTTTGCTTACTAGCTGATATCAATTAGAGAATTATTGGAAAACCAGCTGAGAGTAGTGGACAGCTTTTTCGTCTCGATTTGAAACTCTTCAGCGGTATGTACTTACGGGGGGATTTAAACCCAGGACATTATGGTTATGAAGCGAGCTCATACACCATTCAGCTATCGGGTCGAAGAGAGAGCAACTACCATTGATATAAGTGTAAAACTTGAGCACTGTGCTAGAGTATAACTCCATTATAGATAAGATTTTATTTTGATAGTGTCACACAGTGTTGTTATACAGTAATATTTACTGATGACCACCTTTCGAGCACAAACTATTGCCACTCATAATCATATCAAGTCACTCACTCACTGACACAACTTTCTTCCTTCATTTATATACATGATTAAAAATTGATGATTAGACATCTGAATAAAAATCAATATGGGATAATGTACATTCAGAAGTAATAATAATATGAGTGTTATCAACCAAGCACAATCGGATGGGAAATAAGACGAGTGATTTTATAGTCAAAATAAATAAGTAACTTGTCAGAATGTTGTGATGTGTTTGAAATGAAATAGAATTTTGAGATTATTTATTATCCTCCTGTGATTTGACTGACTGATGATAATAATATCTTCCATATCTCTGGTATTTGCATTGAGTCATTTCTGTTGCGCATGTGCTGGGTGTAGATTCACTCGATGAACCATGGAGGATTCAGTAATCAATCTCTCTTTCCATCTACATATATTACTTCTTAGAATCCTAACCGTCTCCCACCTTATTGGGTGGTTGTGCGTTATTGCATGCAGTTCGATTGCTAAGCTTTTTCTGAATCACTTATCTTCTCGGGGTCAACCATTCTTACCTTAGCTGAATTCTTATGTTTCGCCAATCTGATTACCTGCGATCTATCAGCCAATGTCCACGACGAATAACTGTTTTCTTATCTGACTCTCTAGTCTCATAAATTTTCACCAAAAAACTTTGTTAGTTTCCACTTAAATTTGAATTAATGCTGGTTTATGATGTAATCTCTATTGAAATGTATCGAATCCTTCTACAAATCCAAAAAATTCTACATTAGATTTCTATTGTCTTTTAAAACCGTATTTTCTATAGTTTGGTTTGTAAGGGTTAGTTTTGTTTTGTTGTTTACGAGTTGATCACTGATTGATATCAGCCAGTGAACCATTGAAAACCAGCTGGGAGTACTGTACTGGACAGCTGTTTCATCCTAGTTTGAGAATCATCGGAAGTACGCACCCACCACAGTGCGGTTCTAACCCAGGACCTTCCGGTTACAAGGAAAGCTCGTATACCATTCACCCACTGGGACCCGATTCAATGGCCAACCAATGAATTCTAACTTCTACCAATTCGTGATTTAGTGTGACGCCAACCAGTGCCGTAGGTGGGACATCCATCCAGACACGTGACATCTGGATGGACCTCACTGGTCACGACTTCTCACTAGAACATACTTTAGGAGACTCCATCCTGTAGCAAGTCCTGTAGCGAGCATCAGATTAATTTTCTATAGTTTGGTTTTTAAGGGTTAGTTTTGTTTTGTTTTTATGAGTACTGTCGATGATTCCCAAACTAGGATGAGACTGCAGCTTTCCAGTACTCCAGTGCTGGTTTTCAATGGTTCTCTAACTGATATCAATCTGTGATCAACTCATAAAACTATATTCCTTTCTTCTTATGGATATATCTTTCTGATTGATTTTCTTTTTTTCAAAGCTGTTTCACAACTTGCCTTGACTATAACAGAAATTCAACGATTAGCCGCATTGAATCATTGTAGTCTATTGGTGACTAATCATGCTAGATCGTCATTTAGTAATGCTTTCAAAGATCAACACAATACCGCATCATCCACTGCCGTCTTCACAACGCCTGCCACTGCTTCATCATCATCATCGTCGTCTTTACCACCTTCAATTGGTTGTCTTGGTGTAAATTGGTCATTGATACCACATCATCGTATATTGTTCGAGTGTGCCACACAATCACTTGTTCAAATGATGCCAATGAAAATTAAAGCAACACTAATTAAAAGTGTTTATAATAGAAAGAAAAATCAATTCAATCATTGTACTATACAGAAGTGTAATCCTGAAATTATTTGTGAATTTAATGTATAGAAAATATTCTAAAAAGAAATTTATTTGTTTATTATTGCTATTCATTCAGATTTCCGGTTTCTATAGGCATCTGAATTGAATTCAGTGAAGATTCCGTTACAAATTGACACCTGTTAAAGAATCATTGAGAAGTGATTAAGAGCGCACTGTACAACCTTTTGTTTCTAGCTTGTGACTTATTATTATAATATTATTATTATTTCCTTTAATTTCTAGAGGAACATAGAGATTCAGCCAAGCACGCCTCCATTGCGTCCGGTTCTCTGCTAAAGTTTTCACCTAGCTCCAGGCTTGCCCACATACTTTCATCTCCTCTTCACATCACCTCCTCCAAGTCACCCTTGCAATGACGACCAACTCGCCGCTTCCCATTCGGGTTCCACTCGAGGGCTTGATGGTTTCGTCAAAGGATGGCCAGCCAATCTATCTCCATTTCTTCCTGCCTATTTGTTGCACAATCGGTTCCTGCTATGCTGGTTCGCTCATTGCCAGAGATCCCTCACAGATGCTGATCGTTTCTGGCCGGCCATCTGATCTTGAGCGAAGTAGTGAGCAAAGAAAGCTGTTGATGAAGGTCTGTAGTTTTTTTGAGGTGCTGTTTTCGACGCTCTGGCCAAGTCTCTGATCCGTATAGTAAGTAGCACTGACTTCACATTGGAGTTGAAAATCCGGATCTTATTTTTTCATTTTCATGATGAGCGCTGTTGACCTCCACATATACTTGAGAGTAACGAAAGCTTCCCTTACTTTTCCAGTTCTTGCTTTGACATCCTCGTCAGTTCCGTCCACCTGTAGTTGAAACGATGCTTCCCAGTTAGGTTGGTAGATAAAAGAGGTTGTTTCTTTCAGGTTCCTCCCAATTATGCTGGCTGATTGTTGTCTGTTGTTGCTGTGGATGTTGACGAGAAATCTTCATCACCTCTGTTTTCTCTACGTTCACCTGAAATCCTATCTTTGATGCTTCTTTTGACAGCTTGTTGTTTTTCACCTGCATATCTTCTAGTTAGTGGGAAATCAGACACATACATATCATCGACGAAGTCCATATCCTCCATTTTTTGAGCGTGTCCATGTTACGCCTGTTTCCTCGCTGCGTGGCCCACTGTCTGTCTCATTATCCAATCTACTGCAGTCAGGAAGATCATTGGCCATGACAGACAGCCTTGCCCCACTCCCGTCCTCACCTCGAAGGATTCCTTGAGTTTCCCGTTGTGGACTACTTGGCATGCAGCATTGTCGTATAACTGTTGGATGAGATGCATAATTGTAGACGGCACCCAGTAGTAGCGAAGTAGTTGACAAATCACCTCTCGATCGACGCTCTCTGTCGAAGGCCTTTTCAAAGTCGATGAAGTTGAGTGAGGTGGAGAGGTGACTTCCATTCCAAGCTTTGTTCAATGATGATCCGTACAGTGGCGATTTCATCAATACATGACTTGTTTCTACTGAATCCAGCTTGTTCCGGTCGAAGTTTGTCATCCAGGATGGCGTGTTTGATTCTCTTCAGGATGATTTGGCTGAGCATTCTGCTTGGGATGGACAGGAGCATAATGCCGCGTCAGTCACTCGTGACTACTATTCAGCAATGACGCTTTATCGTAGGTCGAACCTAGGACCTTCAGAATCTTAAGTCAATCTCTAGTTGATCATTCTCATATAGCAGGGAATCATAATCATGCCGAGCAGTGCAATTGTTTATCAGTAGCACTTTCTTAAGATTATCTTTTCTATTCCTGAGTGGAACATAGGGCTTCAAGCTTGAGTTTTGGAGTTACAATAACAGTAGCGCTATTTTTACGAGATGCAGTTGCTGACCTTTTGTATTTTTCTAGGCCGAGTTGGACGCAGATGCCGTGATGCCGAATATCACTTGTCTACGCCAACAGCATCATACGACAGCTATCCGATCTCCCAGAGCGCTACTTAAGTAGGGACACACACAAAGACGTGAGATCGAAAAATATTAGTGTATTTACAAAATGAAACAAGTATATTACGAGTTGATCACGGATTGATATCAGTTAGAGAAAGATAGAAAACCAGACACTGGAAGTACTGAACAGCCGGCTGTTTCATCCTAGTTTGGGAATCATCGGAAGTACGCACCCATCAGAGTGCGGTTCGAACCCACGACATTCCGGTTACAAGGCAAGCTCGTATACCATTCAGCCACCGGGATTCGATTCAATGGCCAGCCAATGAATTCCAAGTTCTACAAATTTGTGATTTAACGCGATCCCAGTGGGTGCGTACTGCCGATTATTCCCAAACTAGGATGAAACAGCAGCTGTCCAGTACTTGAGTGCTGGTTTTCAATGGTTCTCTAACTGATATCAATCCGTGATCAACTCGTAAAAACAAAACTAGTCCTTACAAACCAAACTATGATCAATAGCCTCAAACCCAATTTTTCCTCTTTATCGGCCTCGCTACTGGCTAAGACAGATATAGTAGTGAGTCGGCTGAGGGTCTAATCTTGGACCACGTGTGGCGTGATTGATGAGCATCCTACTGCTCTACTACTGACTCTCCAGTTCGATAGAGAGAACAGAAATCGAGTTAAGTATCAATAATGAGTACTTGTAATTAATAATGTTCTCTGAGCTGGTTGGTTTGGTTGCGGAGTTTTCGCCGTCCTTCTGCACGACATCTTCAGCGCAATATTTAGCATAAAGGGAAATGATTTAAATTTCTTCATAAGTGATATAATTGTGTCTCCCGGTAACCATCTTTACATATGTATTGACCATTTTCTATTGACTCGGATTTTAAACTTTCTCGTCACATGATTCACTTTTTATTAGTTGGTATATTTGCTCTATATTAACGTGTTTGTAAATCGCATATTCGTTTGAGTACCAGACTTCTAGGAATCCCCTGGCTTTTTTAGTGTTTCCTCTGTGTAAGATTTCGACATTTTCCCAACCAAACTGATGTCCATAATTGTCTGTGTGCATTGATATGAAAGAATATATATATATATATCGTGTCGTTTTACGGCTGATCTGCGTTCCTGGATTCTGATTCGAAGGGGACACCCACTTCGACCACCGATGTAATGTCTATTACAGTTCATACAATTTATTCTATAAATGGTATTAACCTTATCTCCTTTTTCTGTTGGATCTTTCGGTTCGCATAATACTGAATTGAGCGATTTGACTGCCTTGTGTGCTAATGATAAATCATCCACCTGAGCTACAAATCTTCTCTAATAATGAGTGTTGCTGAGGATCTAGGGAAAAGCTTTTTTTTCTGTAAGAATCCTTAAGTTAAACGCTAACCAATACTTCGTATCCCTAGCTATAAACTGTTAACTGTGATCTATCATGTCCCTAGACAGCAGCACTACATTGTGCAAATCCGTGCGAATTAGAATTTAAGAACAAAAAGTCCGGAGAGGAGTCTCTTTCCAGCGGATTCATTCACTTAGCTGTACAATCGTATTGATTTATTAATTATTTTGTCTCTCTGTGTGTGTGTGTGTACATTGGGATTGTCAGACAAAAATGAAATTAGTTACGGTTATTGTTTACGTCACGTCAAAGTGTTTCAAAAATGTGATGAATAATCAAACTGTACCCAGGAGGTGGTGGGGTGAAGACTGGTAAGTATTGACAAGGGTTGCGTAATATGGAAGACACCCAATAAAAAACAGAATGTTTAATGAAACAGCATGGAGACAAGTGTCCAAAGTAAATTATGTGATCGGCAGAAAGAGTAAATAAAAGGTTGTTTAGGTAAAAGATGTTACTAAGAAGTCATACAAAAATTCAGAATAGCATTATTAACAAAGTAGTAGAACTTGGAATTATACTCAAGATGGAAGGAGAAGTTTCTTCTGTGTACACTGATCAGAGTTTTCTATCCGGATCGCTAAGGCCTCGACAATGCAAAGTAAACGGAAGCTTATCGTTCTCGGGAGGCTTCTTTTGACTTTGAATGAATTCTTCTTGCATATTTACTGGTATTGAATACATTTTCACTAATAGTGTGACAACAAAAGACAGTGTCTGTTTAGGAAATCAGCACATATTTATAGATTTTCATGTACATTATTATAGATTATTGTAAGCAAACAAACACAGTCCTCTGATTGGTTGTTTCTCACTGAAAGTTAATCTTTCATCTGTTTGTGGCTGTTTGTTGAATATCAGATCAACTATATGCCAGCTGTATACGTATACACAAAGTCTTTGTTTTCATTTTTCTCACGACCAATATTTGGGACATAAACGTTGACGTAAATTACTGTCCACCAATTTTGATCGACAGCCAGTTTTCACCACACTCGTCCCCCGTCAAAGACGTCCGACTGAAGTTGGTTCAGACTGCTTGGTGCTAGAGGCTTTGCTCGTTTGTGTTGCTGTCTGGAATCTCGACGCTCACTGATGTTCACCTGTTTCTCTTTGTTTACCATTGCAATTGTGTCTGCGTAACCCCATCTCAACCTGACAATATGTGGTCCTTTTCACTTTGGGAAGTGTTTGCCTGACCCTGTCTCACATTCGTCAGTATTTCGCCTCACACTTTCACATGTTGCTTTCTCCCGACCTTCTCAGCAGCGTCTCAAGTAGGAGCCTCATCGCTGACAGATCTTGAACGCCACTCAACTGTGCAGAAGCCTCGAAGTCCTTCCCGAAGGTTCATATGTCTCCATCAAAAACTGCTAGGCATAGGCTTTCCATTTGTCAGTAGGCAGGGACACCAAATGTAACGACAAAAGATAGGAGTCAGGCAACAACAGATCGTTCATTAAGGAAATCAACACATATTTATAGATTTTCATGTACATTATTATAGATTATTGTAAGCAACCAAACACAGTTTTCTCACTGATTGTTTCGCACAGAAAGTTAACCTTGCATCTCTTTGTGGCTGTTTCTTGAATGTCAGTTCATCTATATGCTAACTGTATCCGCCTAAGCAAGACTTTTGTTTTCATTTTTCTCATGACCAATATTTGGGACATAAACATTGACGTAAATTACTGTCTACCA